AGGCGCGGCGGCTGGTGCTGTCGCCGCGGCGGCTGGCGGGCCCGCTGCCCGCCGGCCTCGCGCAGTGGTTCCCGGCGCTCGAGGAGCTGGACGTGAGTGGCACGGGGCTGGCGGAGCTGGGCGCCGAGCTGCTGGCGCTGCCGCGCCTCCGCACGCTGCTCGCCAAGAACAACCGGCTCGGCGGGCCCGGCTCGCTGCCCAAGGGGCTCGCGCAGGCCCCGCTCGGCCGCTCCCTGCGCGTCCTCAACCTGAGCGGCAACCGCTTCGCCGAGGTGCCGCCCGCGCTGCTCGGCCTGCGCGGCCTGCAGAGCCTCAGCCTCGGCGGCAACCGCCTGCACGGCATCCCGCCCGACATCCAGGAGCTGCGCAGGTGAGGGCCTGCGCGGTGCCGCGGCTGCTCGCGCCGCCAGCGTGCAGCGAGGCCCAGCCTCAGGGCGCTGCCGGCAGCATCTTCCCGTGCATGTCACCAGCCTCGTGCCCGCCCGTCAGGGCGCAGCCTGCGAGGGCCGCGGGGTCGCCCCGTGGGGCAGGGGCAGCATGGCTGGCGCCGCGGGAACGCACGCCGTGTCCTTGCCGCCTCGCAGAGCGCGAGGTAGGAGCAGGCCCGAAGCTCGTGCTTGCCCGGCGCGCACCTGCTGGGCCCTGCGTGACTACAAGGAGGCGCTTGTGGCCTGTGCGGACAATGGGGCCCTTGTTGGCAGCGCTGATAGTTCGCTGGCACAGCTGGCCTTTTTTGAGGCCACTCCACACTTGTGGCTTACGTGGCCACGGGCAGCTGACGGATCTCCAGGCTACGCTCAGGTGCCACCATACACCCAACTCTGGAGCTGGATGAACCCTGTGGAGGTCAATAACAATAAACCCTATGGTTGAATCCTAGCCAAGAGTATAACAGCGTTGGGGGCAGGTCTTGCGTAGGCTTGGTTGTTTGCTGGCTGCATTGGCCGAGGGGTCTTCCCTCTGAAGCCTGCCTTACTCCTAGGCAAGCTGGGACTGTGTTGTGTCCCTCTTGTTACGTGTGGGCACTTCCATGTGTTCAGGTGGTTTCTCAAGCCTCCGACTAGCCTCTTTGCTAAGCCTGTCTCTGTGCTAGGACTTGGGCCTGAACTTTCTTCACCTCAGGCCCTTTGCTGGGCGACTCGCTGGAGTCGGTCTCTCTTGTGCAAGCTTCAGTAACCTTGACCCAAAGGAGTTGGATTTGCCCCGGTGACTCAGCAGAGCTGGATCCAGTGGGAGCCAACGATGTGGCGCGTGACGTGCTGTCTCCTGAAGGTCTAGCTGGAGGCACTGAAGCCGCTTGAAGGCGGCTGTGTGTGTCACGGGGGATACAGTGCAGCCTGGCATGCATTACTTTGCCCTCATAGCAGACAGCGTGTGTCTGCTGGGGCCCTGGAGCAGTGCTGGGCCAAGCTAAATCCCAGAGACGCTGCTTTGGTGCATTGAGAGCCGGAGAAGGTCCTCGCCCTTCCCAGCAGAGCTGGGCTGCCTCCTGGTGTGGGGCTGCTGCCTGGAGGAGGGCTCCTTGCTGCTGCCCACCTGCCCTCATGGGTGGCAGTGTCTCGGGCGCTTCTTTTCCCAAAAGCAGACCCCCCCCCCCCCCCCAGCGTGGTTTGCTGTGCTGTTGGAGTGGCCCAGCCCTGTCATACGCTCCCTGCTCTGCAAGTTGCCATTTCTCAGCCTGAGCTGCTAGGCTGCCCAGTGCACCATGTGGTGCCCCAGTGGGCTGTGTACAGTGCTCCAACATGCTGCAAACTACTGCTGCCTGGTTATTTATTCCCTTTTCTATTTGTTTATTCTCTCTGCTTTATTCTCTGCCTTGCCCTAAAGGAGGGCTACTGCTTGTCCTGTCCTGCAGCTTTTCCTGGGCTGATCCTGCTTGAACCCCAGAATAACAATTCCGAGAGGACTACGTGGACAGAGCTATTAAACTGCTTGTTTATCGTTCCAAAATGATGTGTCAGGGAGTTCATGTCTGGGTAGTAGCTGTTACCCGGGTGAACCTCTGCTAATATGTCACCTTAATAAATTTGAACTTTAGCTCAAGATAGCAAATTCACGTTGCAGCAGGATTGTCAGCTTCTTCACACGTATGGCTGTTGGGGACTCTTTCTGGTTTGTGGGACCACTTAAGCAACCAAGGGGAGAGGCCTGTTTGCCAGAAAGGGAGAAAACAGGATGTTCGTAACTTAGTATTCCTGCGCAGGGGGTGCTGAGGCTGCTGGTTGGAGCCAGATAGGCAATGACCTGGCACCTTTACTGAAAATGTAGTATGTACTGAAGAGAAACCAGTGCCAGACCCACCTCTGTTTGCCTGCGTGAGAGGTATCTTCAAAGTGAACGTGGATAACTTTTGAGGTGGGCAGAAAGAGCCTGAGCAAGGACAGAGCAGAGCCAAGTTTTGTGACAAAGTGGCACGCAGGCATCTATGAATTCCAGAGTGTTCAGGTGGAGGGAGTGGAAGGTAGGAAGGACCTGGTGTAGATGCTGAGACTTCTCTGCCCTCCTCAGCCTCACAGCTAAAGCTGCAAACTGGCTGTCTCACTGTTGCTGGCAAGCCAAGGTGTTGAGCCTTCTTCAGCAGGACGCTTCCCATCAGAGAAGCTGTCTCCATGTCTCCTAGTTTCTGAAGCCCCAGAGGAATGAAGCAGCACTTTGGCCAGACATCTGCGTCTGGCTGGTTCCTGAGGCCAGCACTCCTCTCCTGCCTGTGACCCTGCTAGCTTCCCGTTTGCTCCAGTCCTGATTAAAGGGGTGGCCATAATTGCAGAGATCTAGGAATATTTTTGTGGGCCATCAGGGCATGAGTGAGCTCTCTAATTCTGAATAGACAAGCTTCGTATTTTTACCCTGTTTCCAAAATATACTTCTGTTGTAGTGTTTGAAGAGATAGTGCATCAGTTGTTCTGGTGAAGACTAAGGCTGCAGCAGGGAAGGAGCCTTCACGGTGAAGCTGCAAGAATAGAAAGCTGATGGAGCTGTCCTGGAAAAGAAGGAGGATTCTGGCAGCTACAAAGCCTCTGCAACGAGAGACATGTGTCACGAGAGGGTACTCGGGCGAAGGCAGGAAATCTTTGTAGCAAGCCAGGCATTTTGTGCAAAGCTTTCCTAGCATGTTCCTGGGGATTTGGCAAGCTAACGAACTGCGGTAAGAGCTGCAGCTAGGCTTGCTGTCTCGCCTTCCCCCAGCCTCAGCCATCTGCCCATCCTTGCCCACAGAAGTGTGGTCGTTGGGAGCTGCGTGAGAGCCTGTGGTGAGACGGGGCATTTCATCTTCCTTGTAGGTTATCAGTAACAACTTGAGCAGAAGAACTTCTCAAGCAGTTTTAGAATGACCTCCTGAAAGTGTCCTGATGGTTGAAGTTCCCTTCAGGTGTCTCCATCCGTAGGTGGACATGATCCCTGTTACGACAGTAACATGGTGATGCTGGTCAGAGCTCACCAGCACCCAGGGCAAGTAGCCTTTGCTGCGTGTTTTCCCCTGAGGGGGGCATGTGGAAAACGCAATACTGCTCTCTCCTTGTCTCCTGCCAGAGCATCTCCTGACGCTCTCACTGGTGTCAGGATCGTGCACAAGCAGAATTGCTGCACTGGGTGCTGCAGTGAATGCCGAGTAGAAAATTCACCAAATGGAAAGGCCCTCCGTGTGTTTGTTGCCTGTTAAAAGATGTGCTTTGAATTGGTGGTTGTCAGCATCATCTCTCCCGTGGTTCTGCCTGCAGCATGGATCGTGGTGGGCCTTCAGCATGAGAGCTTGTGGTAAATGCCCTCATCTGCTTGTGCCTGTCCTGACTAAATTAGCCTGGCAAGGCGGTCTGCTGAAAGGCAGTGTTGACTTCGCGTGTCCCATCGAGGCCTTTGGCTTGTTGGTGCACGGCTTGTCCTTGTCCCCATGTGATATGGGAGAGGTCTTGTGAGTGCTCCCCGGAGGGACAAGCTCTTGAGAGGTTAGTGAAAGGCACTTGGTGCCTTGAATCTCTGCATAGGACCTTAAAGCTTGGTCTTACTACCTTTTGGGTTCAGCAGAGCGCTGGGAAGAAGCAGAAAGAGGGTAGGAAAGAACCAGGTTGCTCCCCGGTGCCTTTCCTGCAGGTGCCTTTCCTGCCTGCTTGGGTTTTTCCAGGTGAGCCCAGTTACCCAAGGGCTGGGATCAAAGGCCTCGGGCTTGTAAGAGGATTCACGCAAGTTTTGTGTAGAGGCTTAGATGCGGTGAAAGCCAGAGGATCTGCTTTTATTCCTGGATAGTAGTAAGCATGTTAGACAAGCAAATGCTTAGGAATACCAGTTACGGTGTGGGAAAAGCAGCAAATGAAGCTTTGATAAAGATACAGCATTAGGAAATCTTGCTCTCTCCCTTTTTTCTTTCCCTCTTCAAACGCTTTGCAAATAGTTTCCAGACAACTGTTTGATCTTAAATTTGTGTGTCAGCAAAGGCTGTGGAGCTCTCTCAGGAATTAATAAATTGCAGAACAGGGTGAACAGGAGTGTGCTGTGGGCTGCTTTTAAAATTCTCCCTTGCAAGAGCCTCAGAACTGCTGGGGGAAATTCCTTGCTGAAAAGTTTATCTTAAAAAGACCTGGAGCTATTTCAGGTCATTGTTTCTGTTTGGATTAGCTAATTAGATGCATCCATTTGATGTCAGCTGCTAATTTTATCCAAACAAGTATCTTTGGGGAAGCTGGATGGGCTGAGATGTTGTCTGTTCTGTGCTTTAAGGCAGTTGAAACAGCTCTGTGAAAGTGTTATAGTAATTGATAGTGTGTTAAAAATACCTCTAGTGCTCCGAGTGGGCACTTCCCATTTTCTGAGTGTTTTGGAGCTTTTTGGATTGTTCATCCCACATGACGACATGGAAACTTTTTGATGCCACCACCTGTATCAATTCATCATTGTGTGAACATTTCCTAGAACTGCTTTAGCACTCAGTAGCCAACTTTAACCCAAAGTACTAGAGGAATGGAGGTTAGAAAACGTGCCCAGATTTGCAAGAAGCTACTGGTGTACAGCAAAGAGACATCTAGAACCCCTCATAGTGAGGAGAGAAGGGGACGGGAATGGCAAAAACCTGGGATCTGCTGTTTTCTGGTGTCGGGCACCTGTCCCGTGTCGATTCCCTAACGGGGAATGTGCGTAGGCTGCAGCCACAGCCTAATGCTGATCTGTGGCCTTGTGTCCTCGGTGGAGATTTGCACAGCCAGATTGATTGCCTTCGCTTAGAAATACGTAACTTATTCTAGCTTCAGAAAAAGGGGCTACGCTCACATTCTCCTCTGCCAGCAAGAAGAGTGGTTGCTCACTGGCTTTCCTGAGATCCTGGACTGCCTTTGGAAAGGGCAGCAAAACTCCAGCTCCCCTTGGGGAACCTGCACGAGGCGTGAGGAGAACGCAGCTTGAGAATCGCTGGAAAACCTGGCTCTTCATGCAAACAGTTCCTTGGAAATGTCCCTCGCTAAGCTCAGTCCTGTTGGTGCCTGCCGCTCCTCCGAGCGGGAATGCGTGCGAGCCGCCTTAGCCTTGGATGCCAGGTACAACACGGAAGGCACTCTGGGAAGGGACAAGCTACAGCCTGTGGCCTGCGTGGCGTGGTCAGCGCTCCTTGCAGAACGGTGGTGCCCCTTCAACCCCTCACCCGGACTGTTAGCTCTGCTCACACAACTCTTGGCATTTTTATTTGATCCACGAGGGACAGTTGTTAGTCCATCCATCTTGCTCAGCCAAGGGGAGGCTGCATCCTTCTTTCCAGCCAAATGTGTTTCGTGAGGTTTTCTTGTGGGTTGCTTCTGCTGCTGAGCGGTATTTCAGTGGAAGCTGTAAGAACATCTTCACTATGTGTGAAATAAGTCTCTTCATAGCCTCTAGAGCACCTCCCTGTCAAGTCTTACAAACTTGCCGTCTAATTCATATCTTAAACTGATGCTGAGAATCTCGGGTTTGACCCGTCAGACTGGGCCTCGGTGGTTGTCAACATGCTGACCTCTGAGAGGAGACTGGTAAAAAGAAAGCAGTTTGTAAGCCCTCGCTCCGGAAAGGAGTTACCTCTCGTGGGATTTTTAGCCGTCAGTAGCTTGGCCGTGTTTGTGCACGTTGAATTTGGGCAGGCTGCTGCTCCTCAGATCTGTGCCTTGGGAGCCTTGCACGGGCTTTGGTGACCATTATTTCCCATGGGCTTTGCTCCCTTCCCTGCCTCCCGCTGGCGTTACGGGTTTTTACGCAATGTGGCCTTACTGACATCGTTGTCTTCCAACAGAGAGGATGCAGAGTTAATTATTCACTTTTCCTAGGAAAAGGAGACTTGTACACATCTAAAGCTTGTTTAAACATTGAAATCCACATTGCTAAAATCTCCTTGTCCAACAGTTTTCGGCAGGGCCTCCTGTGATGGCCTAGAGTTAAAACTGGCCTAGGAACTGCGGTGTCAGCAGCCACATTCCTAGCGAGAGCCTAGATCCACCTGGGGAGACAGTGGGGCTCAAAGGAGGACCTGGGGTTACAATTCTGGGCTTTGTCAGGACATCTAAGTTTAATTAAAACTAAAATCACTCTGTTTTCTGCACAGCAGCCTCTTCCTTGCCCATGGGTTGCCTGCCTCGGAGCGGGGCTGGTGGTGAGGGAGGGGGTTGTTTCTCCATGCTTTTTTTGCCAGGATAATTCCTCGGCTTCAAATGGCCTTCAAATTTCGGTTAAAGCTGCTCAGAAAGGGCCGGATTTTGGAGCCACTTTGCCAGGTCCCCAGTGCTTCTGGCATCCTTGAAAAGGGGAGGTGATTCTGGGGCAAGGCAAGCCCTGGGAGCCCTGCCGTGTGTTGCAGGGCTCTGCTGCTCTTCGCTTCAGGCACGTGGCCTCTGCAGCCCAAGCAGACGCTGTCATTGGATCCTTGGGTTCCTGTTTCTTGGAGGAGCAGAATAAAACAGCCTCTTCCTGCCATTCTTGTGCTCCACATCGGGGACGCCTCGACCGGGAGCTTCTCCGGCGCTGTGTGCGCACCCTGGCTGAGGTCCAGGGTTTGACCCTTCCCTGCCTCAGGCAGTGTGTCCCTCAGGCGCCTTGGCCGCGTGCTCCTTTGCCAGCTCTGTGTGTGGCCTTTCCGTGGGAGCTGAGGTGAAGGCGTCTCCCGTTGGAGCGCTGGCTGGGCTGTTCCAGAGAGCCGCTGCCACTCTCGGCTCTTGCTGCTTCCCCGGCTTGCTGCGGGCTGCTCGGCCGCCGTGCTGAGCCAGGAGGGCAGCGGACGCTGTGCTTGGCTCGACTGAGTACGTGCCAGCCATGGGGAGCTGCACACGCCTGTGCCTCGGGCTGTCCCTGGATCCGCCTTTTGGAGGCGCCATGGAAGAGCTGTCTGGATGCTGATCCTCACTCGGTTATGTCTCATCCGCGCCAGAGGGGCCAGCGCAAGCTGTGCCCTTGCCCCTCTTCTGAGCAGGGTTGGAGAACGGGCAAGGAAGAGTCCTTGGCTGCTAGATAGGGGCGTGGAGAAGTGGGCGTGCAACAGCTGACCTGAAGCTGTGCGTGCCAACGTCCCCTCGTCGGGCAGGGCCGCGCCGCGGCCGCGTGGCCGGAGGTGCTGAGGGGCCGCGCTGGCGCCCGTGCCCTCTGCAGGGCAGCCGCTTCTGCAGGACGTGCCGCGCTGCCCCGGCCGCAGTGCAGCCCGTGGCAGCTCGTGTCTGCGGTGGCGCTGGCCTCCGCAGCTTGGCTGTGCTGAAAGCTGTCCCCGGAGAAACCACACGTGTGTCCGTGGGGGACTTCCTGGGTGCTGGCCGCGCTGGTGCAGCGGGGCCGCTGCCAGCACGTGAATGTTGTCAAAGCAGGACTGGATGCCTCTCTCGGCCTGGAGGGTCACAGGCAGCGCCCGAGGCACTGGGCGACACTACAAAGAGGAATCAGAGGGCCAAGAGCCATGGGCTTCTCCGAGGCGACTGCTCCTGCCCTCGGCTCAGCGTGCAGCGGGGAGTGCAGAGCGGCGCCTCGGCACGCGGGCTCTGCCTGCCGCCGGCCGCAGCGGCACGGAGGGCGCCCTGCCGCCTCGCCTCCCTCTCGCAGCAGCGCTCTCGTGCTTCTGGGGCGCAGCTCCGCTTGCCTTTCCGTGGCCTCTCCCTCTGCGAGACAGCTCGGGCCTTGGGCATGGTCAACTTCAGCTGGAGAATCCTCTTTTAACCAAGAAAACGTGTAGACATAACTTTAAGAAAGTCTACACTTTCTTAAGGGGGATGAGAAGACCCTAGTGTTAAATTAAGTGATCTTAATGACTGATGTGGTGTTTTCTCTTTCAGCTTAGAGTTTCTGTACCTTGGAGGGAATTTCATCACTTCCATTCCACCCGAGTTAGCAAACCTGCCTTCCCTAAGCTATCTCGTTTTGTGTGACAACAAGATCCAGAGCATTCCACCTCAGCTGGCCCAGTGAGTATTTATGCTTTGTTCTGCATATGTGCCTAAAAGCAATTGGGAAGATGCGTTTGTTCTTCACTTCTTTTTATCTAGAACAGGAATTTCCTTAGTGTGGTGCACTGCAGACAGACCACAAATATATAATAGGAAAGCCACTGTTAAAGGGTTGTGGAAAAAAATGTCGCAGTGTCCACCTTGAGGTGACTTGATGGGTTTCTACAGGAAATCCAGAGCAGCACCTGGGCGATTCAGGGAAAACAACCTGCCATGTTGCTCTGTTCTTGGGGTGGAAAGCTTCTGACTGATTTGTCTTTCATCTAAAGTCTTCTCTGTGTGTGTGTGTGTGTGTGTGTGTGTCTGCTGTACCAGCCCTTGTTTTCCCTTGGCATTTCTTGTTCAAGGATCTCAGAATGTTTTAGCATTCATTAAAATCCTCCAGCACAGCCCTAGAGGATAAGTTACTCCTTTATCTGTTACATAATGGGAGAAAGAGGACACTTAAATGCTGTTTGGGTTGCCTGAGATGAAAGGTGAAGAATTCAGTGCAGATGTAACCCCCAGAGCAATTGTATGGCAGCATAGAAAATTATCAGTTGGAGTTTGATGGTGTAGCAGTGTCATTTTTGAAGGATAAACTTTAATGATTCCAGTTGTCTTGGAGCTTGCATTAGGTGGAGACCATAGCATCCTCGGACCCTGCGCTGCAGTGTTGCTTTGCACTCCCTGAGCAGAGAGAGCCTCCTCCTACAGCCTAGTTAGAAGCTGCTCATCCCCCCTACGGCTGCTAACCTGGCCTGCCCTGGCTTAGTTTGTGAGATCTGATAGCATTGCAGCACAAGGCGATGCAGCTGCAGGCAGCGAAAACCTGGGATTTTCCAGAGCTGGCCGCCTACCGGCATTCATCTTTAATGCATGAGTGAAAGCAGGTGACTTGGATGCTGCGTGGAGCTGGGTTTGATGCATGCACTGGGCACAAGGAAACATTATCTCCCTCTAAAAGTGCTGTTTGCATTCTGAGGGGAAAAAAAACACTATCTTTTTTTTTTTTTTTTTTTTTTTTTCCCCTGGGGGAGGAGGAGCAAGAGGGTTGGCCACATATCGTGTTTCAAACTCTACTTCTTTAACGGGCATTCAGGAGCGGAGCCAGATTTTCTAGGGCATCGGCTGTGGTGGAGTAATATCAACTCCTGCACGCGCCCGTGCTTCAGAAGAAGGGGAAAAAAGAGGGAAGAAGCAGGTGGGAAGCATGCAGGGAGTAATGAGGTCTGTGTGTAGTGCCATTGTGGAATGATTTTGCTGGCACCCCTTGACGGCGCTTGCCTCTCCTCCTGCAGGCTGCATTCCCTGCGCTCCCTCAGCCTGCACAACAACCTGCTGACGTACCTGCCTCGCGAGATTCTCAACCTGGTGCACCTGGAGGAGCTGAGCCTGCGGGGGAACCCGCTCGTGGTGCGCTTCGTGCGCGACCTCACCTACAACCCGCCAAGCCTCCAGGAGCTGGCAGGACGCACCATTAAGACGCGCAATGTGCCCTACGCTCCCAGCGACCTCCCGGAGAACCTGGTCCGGTACCTGAGCTTGGCCAGCAACTGCCCCAATCCGAAGTGTGGGGGTAAGCTCACCTTCGCTCCCCGCTTTTGCCTCACAGCTTTCTCTCCCTGTGCCTCCTTGTGGCTTGAGTAGGTCTGCAAGGCTAGATGTGCTGTTGCATCCACCTTCTGTAGAGCTCCATTTCCTTGGCTCCAGCCCTCTGGCAAGCTTATCTTAAGGAAGCTTGAAGATGCCATTTCTTAGCTTAGGAACACCCGTGTCAGAGGGCCATGCTGGTTTGTCGTGGCTGCATGAGATGTAAGGCAGTGCTTTCTGTCAGAGCCTTCGTGGCTTATCCCAGCACACCGTAGTGTTGGTATGTCCTGAAGTTCACCTTGACGACAAGCTGCCCATGAGGCAGCAGGGTGCCCTGGTGGCCAAGAAGGCCAACGGGATCCTGGGGTGCAGTAAGAAGAGCGTCTCCAGCAGGTCGAGGGATCGTCCCCCTATACACAGCCCTGGGGAGGCCACATCTGGAGACTGTGTCCAGTTCTGGGCTCCCCAGGACAAGAGGGATGTGGAGCTGCTGGAGAGAGTCCAGCGCAGGGCTACCAGGATGATCAGGGGCCTGGAACATCTGCCCTATGAGCAAAGGCTGAGGGAGCTGGGCCTGTTCAGCCTGGAGAAGAGGAGGCTGAGGGGGGACCTGATCAGTGTCTATAGATACCTCAAGGGAGGCAGTGAGGAGGAGGGGGCGGCCTCTTTTCTGTGGTGGCCAGCGACAGGACTAGAGGAAACGGCCACAAACTGAAGCGCCAAAAGTTCCCCAGGAACTTGAGAAAACATTTCTTGACAGTGAGGGTGCCAGAGCCCTGGCACAGGCTGCCCAGGGAGGTTGTGGAGTCTCCTTCTTTGGAGATCTTTAAAACCCGCTTGGATGCAGCCCTGTGCCACGTGCTCTGGGTGTCCCTGCTGGAGCAGGGGGGTTGGACTGGATGAGCTCTGAGGTCCCTTCCAACCTTAAGCATTCTGTGATTCTCTGATGCTAAGTTGCTCAGTGCACTGTCCTGAGGTAACTCCAGCTGGTTGAAGGGCAGGAGAACTTCTGCAGAAGTTTCTCTTTGGACTGTTGGACAGTAAGCTGAGATTCTGATTGAAAAAGAGTAGGCTGTTGTGTTACCAGTTACCAAGAGCAATTAATTTAGCTCTTGCCTGGCACATAGGATTTATGGCACCTCTGTGCAGAATACTTTATAGGTAAGCCCAGGATGCTTAGCTTAATTTGGCTTAATGCTTAGTTTTCATCCAGCGTAAATGATCTATGCCTTGTGTCCATAAAAGATTAGGCCAAAAAACCAAAATGCTGTTCCTTAATTGCTCTCTAATCTGTAGTCGTAATTTAGTCTGTATCTTATCTCCTTCCAGGACAATAGCAAAGCAGCTCTGACAGAGAAGGTGGAAGGGCTGGAGTTTGCACTGGAAGAGAAAGTTTTCTGCCCCTCTTTTTTGCATTTTTTTTCCCAGTATGAGTAACAGTGGGTTGGTTCACCCTCAACTTTCTTTTTTTTCTCTGAACTCTCAGTGTTTCCCCAGCGCTGCAGGAGAAAAGCTTGCTCCAAACTTGGTAGGACTTAAACACTGGAGACTTCCTAAGATATGCCTGTAGCTAAAACCACTTTGTGTGGCAGGAGAGGACCGTACCTGTGTGTCGGAGCAGCACTGTTGCCACGGGAAGCATCGTCCCAGCTCAGGGGGGTGACTTCACTCAGGCAAAAGAGCAGGGGAGCCAGAAAGGAGAGTGTTTATTTGCAGACATGTCTTTGCTAGCCAGGGGAAGAGCTTTTACAAACTTGGAAGCCGGGTGGGTGAATTCATTCAACATTTAAGGAGAAGTCTGTAAAATTCGAGCCTCAAATTTCTCCTTAATGTTTGGAAGCAATTGCCTCATTCTTTGGAATTGCTGCTGCATGTCTTTTGATGTAGAATTTGCCTTCTGTGAATCATCTACCCATTAGACTTTTCCAGGAAATTCTTTTTCATCTACCGAGAGAAGAAATTTCACACCTCCAGTTGCCTTGTGGGTCTTGGTACCTCCTTTCTTCCCTTTCTTCCCCTCTGCTCCACATCCAGTGCCGTGTCAGTTCAAGGCCAGTCTGAGGCACCTTCCCGAGGCCCGGCGCCCTTGCAGAGCTTACTCATTGCTCGGCTCCCCGTCTCACGTTTTGTTCCTGGCCCCTCTTCCCCTACAGGTGTCTACTTCGACAGCTGCGTCAGACAAATCAAGTTTGTCGACTTCTGTGGGAAGTATCGACTCCCTTTGATGCACTACCTGTGCTCCCCGGAGTGCTCCTCTCCCTGCAGCTCTGCCTCCCAGAGCTCCACTTCCCAGAGCGAGTCCGACTCCGAGGACGAAGCCAGCGTTGCTGCGCGCCGGATGCAGAAAGTCCTCCTGGGATAAAAGGGACCGAGAGGGAAAGACTGGATGGAAAACACTAGAAAGGCAATGAGGGAACTGCGAAGCACGAGCCTCTGGCCCGAGGGGCTCGCAAGAAACTGTCCCCAAGTCCACGTCAGGGCACGTAAGAACATCCTAGCGAGGCTCGACTTGCTTGGTGCGAGGCTACTTAGGAGAACTACGTGGGTGCCATAGTGCCTGCAGGGTGCCTGGTTCGCTAGGAAGCTCTGCTGCCTGAGAGGTCCCCCTCTCGCCTACTGGCCAGCGGGATCTTCCTCCGACGGGCGCGTTCTGAGGAGGGGTTAATATTTGGCACTTCCCTGGACCGTAGTCATCCTGCCGAGCAAAGGCGGCTTTGCCCAGGGCTTGTAACACTGGCAAATCAGGAAAAGGTTAATGATGCTATGTGGGTGTATGTGGATCCCAATGTTTTGTATTGTGTTTTGATTCTTTTCTGCCTCCTTTTGATTTTAGTTACAGATTTTTCCACCCATTCATGACAACTTTTGGATCAGGAGTCGATTTTTCGCAAACGTTCTTCTGTTGCCTACAGGCACAGGATCTTTGCACTTTTGTAGCCTTCACAGCCCTACAACCGAGTTGCCTTTTTTTCTTCCTCATGATACCAAGCTGCTCGTGGAATCCAGTTAAGAGGAAACACTTTGTTTTTCCCTTCCCCCATGCCCCCCTTCCCATTACACCCGGAGAGCTTTACAGGGCCTCAGCAGCAGACACATTCCCTGGAGGCTTGGGGTGGGTTGGGATCTGTGGCCATGTGTGCCTGTGCTAGGGACCAAACGCCATGTTCTGTGTGTGCCTTCCACCTCTGAGCTTGCTGGGGCAGATCTGCTCTCCACAGTGACCTGCAGGATGGACCTTTCCAGTGGTGAAACCCCCGCATGAGCCCTGCGACGCTCGGGACAGTTGTTCTGTTCTGTCCTCAAGTTGCTGCCCACTTTAAGCAGATGAAGGTGGTGAGTTAAAAGTACGAGGGGAAGCAGTGTGGAGAATGCTGCTTTTCTTTCTTTCTGCTAACTTGAGAAGAAAAGCCCGTGGGAGGAAAGTAAGGGCACGTTTTCTGGGTAGCTCTGCCATACGTTCGTTTTGAGGCCTCTCTATAGGTTTGCATTTGCCTCTGTTCTAAAAGCTCAGGCAGTCTGCCAGGCTGCTCAGGTAACACAGCCAGCCATTTGAGACTATGTTTAAAGGAAAGCTGTAGAAAATAGCTCAATTTTAGATATTAAGAAATAAATTTAAAGAAAATACGACATTGACAGGTGTTTGTAAATCTGCTTGTGGGGCTGGTGTGTGTTTTGCTCGATCAGGGCTGCCTCTTTATTGATATTTCGCAGCAGACAGCCCTTCTGATGCAGTTTGAGATGCTACAAATCCAACTGTGCACGCAGTTGCATGAGCACAGTGAATACTGACAGTGGTAGGAATCTAAATGAACTAGTATGGGGGTTTTGGACACACTTTGGGAGGGAAAGTGCCCTCTCCTGCGTTCAGGAAACACACACAGCCGCTGGAATATTTTACAGAGCTTTGTATTAATGGTTCTTTTTAATTATGCTTGACACTTTATTAAAGCACTTTGATAATTTTACTCTTCGTAGCAAACATTAGTGATTTTTTTTTCTTTTAATTGCATTTTCTTTTAATGTGACCTGCAGAACAAGGCCTGTGAAATTGCGTACGTGCCAGTCTGCCTTGGTGGGCAGGTTGAACTTCTTGCTGGGAAGCTCCTTGGCAGAGCGGCTCAGTTGCCCCGGTTCCTTTGCAGGGAACACTTTGCAAGAAAGAATCGATTTGCAAAGGGGCACCCCTTTGGTTATTAATCATTCCAGCATAGCTAAAGATTGCCCCCGTGCCTACACAAGTGCCTAAAGGAAATAAACTGCCCATGCTCAGTGCCTTTGTGCCTTTTTTTTTTTTTTTTAAATGTACTTATTTAAGACACGGTAAGGTAAATGCCCAAAGTAGCTGGATGTGTCTCTAGCAAATTCTGTGAGGTTTCTTTTGGGACAAAGAATGAGAGAAATATGAGAGGAACCAGCTGCCTGGTGTTAGTTGGGGTGGGATCAGCGGCTCTTGTCCTCGATAAGCTGATGGCAGAGCCACAGGATCACTAGGATCATGCTAGGATAACTGGTCTGAGTGCGGAGAGTGCTCTACAGCTTGGCTCTTTTGCCAGAGAATATGAACCACACAGGTGGAGATCAAGATCTTTTGAGCCTGGGGCCATGAGCTCGAAGGCTCACATCTTCCTTGAGCTTTTCTTTAGCCACACTCTTTTCTGTTCACAAAATTAGATTGCACAAGCGTTTTTTTCTGCCACAAATCCTGTTTGCACAGCAACACCTCTGGGTGATGGCTTAAGACCAGTGACTCCAAACTGGTGCCTGGTTCAAATTTTACTCCCCTCCTCACTGTTTTTTCTTTCCCAACCAAAGGGGTTTCTGATTTCTAGCCCAGTTCTACTTGGTTAATAGTGATCTCTCTTCTCCGTAGCCAGCTCAAAACTTGGCAGCTCATACAGAGGATATGTCTGTGCGGTTGGTTGAAATCTTTATAGTCTTTATGATAAAGTATCTTGTATCTTAAAAATGTATATATATTCCTGAATGCAGCTAACGATCTTTTTCTTTTTGCCAGTGGGCTTTAAAGTGCAATTCAAGTAAGTCAGTGTTTAAAATTGTCTTACAAGGACTTAAAAGAAATACAAACGAATGAGTTTTTTGTTTCTCTTTTCCTTTCCCTCAAAGGTAGAGCTGAGAGTGCGGCAGCGCAGGGCTGAACATCCTGAGGCATCCAGGCTTTTGTTTTTCAGGCCTCGTCCGCCCCCAAACAGACGAAACGTGAAAACACGAGGAGCTGGGGAGGGACGTGTGTCTGTTGTCCCCTTCCTGCTGCTGCAGAGGCCCTGAGATGGAGCCTTGGCAGAGCTGCAGCTCCTCTGGCAGGTTAAATAGTGGCTCTGGGTGTCTGCGGGTGCGTGTCCGCCGGGGAGGCCTCAGTGGGTGCTTGGGCACCGCTGCCCGTGTTGCTCCAGCAGCCCGGGCTGGCCCCTGGGCTCTGGCTGGGGCGCAAGGCGCTGCTTCCAGCCGCCCCACGGCGACCAGGGGCTTCCTGCCTTCCCCTCCATCCCTGCGTCCCGTGGCCAAGAGCTCGTGGCTGTTTCTGGATGTGGCTGCTTGCCGAGAAGAGCAGGATCACCGTCGGAAAGGAGCAAAATATCAGTTTGGAAAAATTGGAAGCAATTTGTATAGTTACCAATTCTTCCGTGTTTCTTTAATAAGAGGAGAGGCTTGAGGAAGCCGGTTTCCACGCACTCTGAAGGGGCCAGAGGCAGTTTTTCATGGGCTTCTGCCGTGGTCACTTGAAGTCTTTGAAATGTGGTATTGAATTATAATGGGAGTAGAGGGGAGGGAGGGGAGAGCCAGCTCCTTTTTGTTGCTTACTCTTTTTGGCATTAATGAATGGGAGGAATTTAATCCAATGAAAGTAATGAAACGTAATCCGTGCAATGTGTCTTTGTTACCCGGTTCAAAGAACTATTTTAATGCATTTTATTCACACCACGTGGATGGATTCCCCCTCTCTTCCCTGCTCCCCGTTTTAGAGTCTCAAGATGCTTCAGCTGGGCCACTTGAGGGTGCACACTAATACAGCAGCAACTCTGTCTTGGCATCTTCCTGCTGATTCTTTCATTTGCCTGCCTGACCAGAGGATTGAGCTTTTACTGACCTGAGCATTAAGGGTAGGAAGGGTTCTCATCTAGCCCTCTAGTGATACTTTTTTTTTTTATCAAGAGTGTTTGGTTTATGAAGCCTGAAAGTGCCTTACATTTTTAAAAGTGTATTGTGTTAGAAATGTATGAATATAGAGTTCTCTCTATCAGGATTTCTCTTAATGAGCTGTAAAACAAATTGTAACACTAAACCAAAACTGTTATTTCTACAATTGTCTGTCTTTTATTTGACACCGTCTGTGTTCTGGAATTGCTGCTGGCAGCAGCTCTGTGAGCATTAGAAATGGGGGAATACAAGGTCTGGGGATGGATTAGACTTGATCCGTGCTTTGGAAAACCAAGAGCAGGTGAGTCTTCTAAAGCAGCTACTGAAACTCTTGGCTTATGGGGCTCATTTGTGACAGAGCAGAAAGTGTGACAACTGTTTCACTTCTGGAACTCTGTTGCATGAATTTGCTCCCCAGTTTAAATGTGAAAGTAATTAATGGCTAAGATAAAAACAGGAGAAGTGAAGGCAGTGTGACTTCGTAGAGGTTTCTGGCAAACTGAAGCAATTGTCCTGACGTTCCTAAATCGTTTCACTCCTCTTAAGACGCTAACTTTGAAATCTATAAATAACTTTCCAAAGGTTAATGTTCTGATTGCCTTGACTGTCTGCTGGGTTCCCATCTCATGTGTAGTCCCATGTTTCCTCCTACATCCCGGGGTTTCTGTGATTTTACTGCCAGCGTGTTTGCTGCAGTGCCATTGCCAGTTGTCAATGCCCAAGTGGCCTGTTGGAAAGTGGGGTAGTGTAAAACTAGAATTACTTGATATCAGCTTCAGCAGGAACTTCACAGAGGTGGTTTAGCGACCTACCTGATGATGAAGCTCTCATACTGTTCAGCAGCTCAGTTTCAAATAGCATAAAATCGTGCAGAATCCAGTGGCCCTGACTGTAAAATGAGGCTGGGAGTGTCCTTGCTTCATTTGTGTTTGATGGAAAGTATCCCTTTGGGAAACCTTCTTCAGGTTTTTTCTGTATGAGGAAGCAGAGAACCAGAGGTCTCCCGTTCAACCTTGCACTGTAAGCAGGATGGTTTCCAGCACTGTCCAGGTCCCTGTGGGTTTCTCTCGCTTTATCTTGGAAACCTCCAAGGATGGAGAGTCCGTAGTCTTCCCGGGCCCCTGCTCTGGTGCTGAATTCTTTCTAGTGCAGAAATCTCTCCAAATGCCCGACATCCTCCTGTCGCTACTTGCTTGTCTCCTCATTTTACAGGAATGAACCTCAGCTCTCAAACTCCTCTTAGCTGTTTTCATTGCTAATGCAATGAGAAGTACGGTGCCACTGAAACATGAGTTGCGTAGAGGCCTGAAACAGATGCAGAGCCTGCCAAATGGACATTTTTAGGCTCACATACAATTGTGCAGATCTAAAAGAGGGTGTTATGCTGCTGCTCTGTAAAGCAGAACCATGCATTTGCTGCTGGGATGCCACAGCTAGTCCTGGTTGCCCAAGGTAATTAGGAACTTGCACCTTTCCCTCTGTACTGAGCTCGTGGTTGGGTTTCCCTGTGCACTGAGCTCGTGCTGAACGCTTGGGCCCTAGTGCTGCCACAAAGCTGCATGGATGGGGGTGAGGGCCACCCGCAACCCTCAGCTGCAGTCCTCAGACGGTTTGCTATGTCCAAGGATCTCTTCCCTCTCCATCAGCCCTGGTTGAGCCCTGGTTGAGAATTGGCCAAGTTCTTGTACAACAGCTTGCTGCGCTCTCCTCTCTCACCAAGCAGCGAAAAGGAGAGTTCTGTCAAGGAAGATTAGCAGGGTCTAACAGCAACTGAGGTCCTTTTAGGACAGAGAGGAAAGTTGTCCAGGGCAGAGTCCCCGGGCGCTTCCAGCTCAGCTTTGTTTTTTATGGCAGGAGTAAAGGTTCAGCTCTCCTGGTTTCACTTCCATGACTGGTGCTGGTCGCCATGGGGAGGTTGTACATGGGTCTCTTTATCTTGGCCCCGGATTCCACTGGTGGCAGACTGAAGCTTGCTCACAAAGGACCAACGTTATCTACAGAGAGCTGTTCACATGCTGAGGCTGTAGGACAAGCTTTGAGCCTCTGCAACATTCCGCTTAAGACAGTACTGCCCAGCAAACTGCGAACTTATTCTAAGTAATATATGTTGGTCAAAAACATCCCACCAAGCTGATTTCCATGGAGAGAAACTGGCCTCGGGAGTGGATGGAGATGCGTAAAGCAGAGCTCCTGAGATGCTGCAGGGATCCATGGCCTTGGGCTGCCCATTGGCAGTGCCTGTTTGGCACGTGTTCCCCTGCGTACTTGGAGGCTGCACAGGCTCTCACGGGCAGGAGGCCTTGGTTTGCCACTGCTGTGGCCGTGTTGGGTGAGGAGCACGTGCACCTCCCCAGGTTCTGGCGGGGAGGCTGTGCCGGCCCCAGCGCTTTGCACAAGGCTCTCGGGCTCGTGTGGCAGACATAAGTAGGACGACTCTCCAAAAATCCACAACGCAGCGCTCTGCTGAATGACACCTCGAGTAAGAAGCCAGCTCCTGGTGGTTCCTCTGGTGCCGTTTCACATCTACCGTGGGGCTTGGTGATGGCTCCATCCCACGATGCTTTCCAGCAAAAGGGGCGCTTTCCAGCCTTCTGCCTCCGAGGGGACAGGGCACCGGCAGCGATGCCCTCTGAGCGCCGCGGGGCGGCCAACCCGTGAGTATACGTTCTCGTGCACACCCGTACGTAAAGCGTAGGGAGGCCCTTGTCAAAGAGCCTGCAGGGGTAGGAGGAACCAGAGAGCTTGAGAACCAGTGCTGGGGAGCAGCCTTCCTCGCTGCGGGGGGATAAAGGAGTTCAGTTTTGTGTTTGTTGGTGCCGTGGCTTGTCCTGCTTTGGTTCCTGCGGCTCGGGCGCTTGCTGGGGTCATCCCAAGCACAAGTGCTCCGGCTCAGCTGGGCTGCAGCCACTGCCTTGCACGCGTGACCTTAGCCTCTGAA